TCTATTGATTAAATTAGTATTTTGGTGTGTTTGCACTAGTTCAAAGTTTATTCATGAAAATTAATGAGGAATTTAATTTTCTGCTCACATTAAAGAAAAGTCCTCTCGATATCACTCGTCTTTTAAATTAAAATTTTTAGACAAAATAATGCTGACTTCAATTTTTGCAGAAACGAAAACTTGCACCAATCCTACCATCTTTCAACTATTATGTATTGTTTTTAAGTTATTTGATTGTTTGGTTTCCTTTCTTATTAGTGCAAGCTTCTAAAATCAAATTTTGATGTCACGTACATTTTTTGAACTAACATGAAATAGCACTTTAGGAAAAATAAAAAAAATAGATAATGTTTATTATTTGTAGGCCTAGATTAATTTGTAATTCATAACCAAATTATCAAATCGAAAGGCTTGAGAACTTGTAATTACTAGCATTTGACCTGTTGTAATAAAAAATGAATGCTGTAATTTTTCTATTCCACTTCTCTTTTTGTATTTACTATGAACAATTTAATTATACATTTATTGAAATTAATAAAATGAAAATTCTCTTACAATATCCAATATTTAATACATCATTTACAGGACTTATTAAAAGAAATTGCATTTGGTTAACAGCATTCAACCACACCACATTGTGAAACATTTTTGTTGGGAAATTGTGCTTTAAAGAAATTGTAAATTATCTATAATTTTTTCATTTTGATATTTTTTATTGAAGTAACTGAAATAATATTTTAAGAATAAAATTTTGAATTTATATTTCATAAAGTTATAATTTTACCTTTTGCAAAACTTGTGGATTATTTTCTTTATTATCAGCTTGTTGATTTCTAAATTAAACAATAGTAATATATTTTCAATTTTTTTGCCATTAATTCTGAAATAGTACATTTTTCTCATGAAAATTGTTTTGAGTTTTCTCTTAGTTGCTCTCTTTCTTCGTGAAAATCTATACATAGATATTAACAATATAATGAAAAATAGGTACTGTAGTAACATAATTAATAATTATTTACTCACCGATGTCAAGTCACTACTAATCTTGAAGTGCCGTTTATCCTAATGCTTTCACGAATCTTTATCAGTATTGCAGGACACATCATTGTTCGATTTTCTTGAGCTCCGAACATAGTAAGCATTCGTCCTTCCATTCTGTTGTTAATGCATAAGACACACCGCCTAATTTCTTCAGTACACCGGTCGAGGATTGGGGGTCGCTTCGTCAGTTAGGACAGTTTGTTTCATGAGGCTGCTCGAACCCAAATAAGAAGAAAACAAAATTCATGATAGTAAAAGTTTTGCCGCCACGGTTAGAGCAGAATTATATTCTGACGGATATTTTTGTTTCCTCTCAAATTTTCAAGCAAGTCGCAAATTTGGTTGCTATTTAGGTAGCTATTTAGGTATTTTGAAAACCCGTGAAGACTTCATTTACTGTCTCAATTCGCAAAATTCATTGCCTTTACTGTAGGAAAACGTCCATTACAGTAGTGTCTGCGATGAATTTTACATGATAGTGCAGTAGGAAGATTTTGAAAATGGATTTTCTGTAGCAGTGGGTAGCATCTATGGTGAGTGTTTTGAATATAAACTCGAAAAACAGTAGGCTAGATAACCTGACATACTTTTTCCGTGTTTTTCCACGTAAGGTAAGTGGCCTTCCCCCTTTTTCAACGCACGCACGGAGCTGATTTTGAGAGGAACGTTAATATCAGTAAAGCATTTCATTCGTAAAGTAATCGAATTATTTGGTTATACAATAGCGAGGGCCTCTTTCCACCATGGGGAGGGTATATCAGGAGTAGGGGAAGCAGGGGTAATGGGGTCACGGGGAAATGGGAGCCAGCGGTAAACTACCCTGTCTTACGTTTTAAAAAAAAATTGTTTAAGAAGTTTAAATATTTTCAACGTTTTCTTTAGGAACTGACCATACTGAACTCGAAAACATTAGTTTTCCTAAATAATGTATAGTTTTTGTGCTGTGGGTCCTAAGACTATTACGCATATTGTTTTTACAATTAGGACATGTTTTTGTTAATAGAATGTCAATAGATAACAAACGTGTAAACAACATCAGATTATATGAAGGTACCTATGCATTAAACACAAAATAGTTTCAACTTTTGTTAATAGAAAATAATGTTTTAAAAACATAAATATTGTGGAGAAAAAAAGTACCCTCTTACATCGTATCTGTATTATGCATCCCTCGTGAGTAATGAATGATTGAAATAAATGTAGCAATTACACCTTTCCATTATTATATTTTGAAGTTTTTACCTAAGACAATTTATTTTATAGAAATGATTAGTTAAGCACCTTTCGTTTATGTATGGCTCCAGGTTCATCTCTTTTCAGACACCAACAAAAGTCAGCCATCATATTGATGTCCCAGTGACTTTGATATCCCTGGAATACAAAATAGTCTCGACATTAATTACCTAGCAATTTCGTCAGGCAAAAATAGCAATTCGTTAAATGATCCTTTCCTTCCCCCACACCATAGGTATTCCCAGTACTTGATTTATAAAAGTTAAGATCCCGGAAGGTGCCCAAAATTAATTATTAATTTAATTGAAATAATATTTACAATATAATTAATAATTATCCCCGAGGTTCCGTTTAGCCTGTCCGTCGCGTACCGACCGAAATCAAGGCGTGGGTACGAGTATACAAAAGGGAAATTGCCTTCAGGACTCCCTTGATACGTCGTCTAAGCCATCTTCACACATGTTCGACTCCATAACTGTGGAGCAAAGGTATTAGCCTCATCTTTCAATTTCATATCAAAGTAAGCTGGCCTTCACAAATGCTGTACTCGTATGTGTTTGATCTTTGTCCTCATACCCCTGGCAATGTCACTTTATCACATAAGTATCAAAACATATTTGGCTACAAAAAGGCATATAAATGGCATCAAAACATGACGGCATCCGGAGGGAAGACACTTGAAGACCAGCGTAGAAGATATGTCCTTAAGCTTACAAACATTTATACGAAAGAAATAGGAGTTTTGGTCCACCCCGGATACTTAATTTCCCCGGTGTCCACCTGATAAAAGCCAAGCCAGACATCCACATGCAATCTGAGGAGGCGTCCGATGGAGGACCAGCAACCCCACATTTACACATCTATTAGGTTTCTTAAAAAAATGTAAATAACTATTGAAATATTTAATTTTTACTTTCTCGCTACTCTTTACGCAGTATAGAGGAAGTATTGTAATGTTGCGGGTGAAAAAATAGCTGCAAAATTTGCATTTAAAACAATGCTCAAACGATATGTTTTTGAAAACGGATCCAGTTTTCAACGAAAATTTTCATATGGAACGAGGTTTTACTCATGTATAATATTCTCAAAGTAATATTTCGGTTCTGCCAAAGGAAACTGAAAAATTGAGAAAATGAAGCCTACTTAGGGCAGCTTTCATGAGGATGGGGCAAAATCGAAAAGCTAGCCCAGACCAAAGAAATTAGAAAAATAGAAGGAGAAAGTCCGTGCCATTATGTAACACAATTAATAACTTTCTCGCTACTATGTAACGCAATTTCTGAATATAATATTTGAGGAACTGCTGAGTTTGCATGTGCGCAGATCCGTCATTCACGGTTAAACCACTTCCCGTGCACCAATCGAGTCATACGAGGTGCCATTCGACACGCGTTGTTCTCCTGGTAATTTGTTTTGGATCCGGCCAGAAGATTCTGAGAAATTCAAAAAACGTGTTTTAGTGCTGTGTGTAGACGGTTAATTTAAACCAACGCCACCTAGGTGGGCAGTGGCGGATTCGGCCGATCATTTGCTTAGGGGGGAATACATAATAGATTTGTATTAAATAATGAACATATTTGTTATTGAATTTATATTATTTTTGTACTGTGTATATATACGATACAATAATATTTTTTAATAATTACATAATTCCAACATAAATATTTAAATCAATTTTGTCAAAGAAAAGACGGTAACAAATGAAAACTTTTTTTGGAGGGGGGGAAGGGGGCTGGCCCCCTCCTGGATCAGCCACTAACCACAAAGACACAAGTGACCTTTATAGATTTTAAGATGGCTTTTGATTCCATTGATAGGGGAACCATTGACAAAGTAATCTGAGAATTTGATTTAGAAAAAGTAACAAAATGTATTTTTCTGTTTGAAATGGCCAGCAAAATAAACAAATTATGTCTCACTCAAAGAGTTCAACCCCTTGTCAAAGGTTGAATGTGTTCAGATTTATTGAGTGTAGGAGTTTTCAACCACATTTTGATGGAAATGGATGAGAGATTTCGCAATTGTGAACATTTCAATTTTTGTGCCTTGCTGATAGCACTAAATTTGAAAAAACATTACATGATTTCTTTTAATGCACATGAAAATATACAAAATTTCTTAGGATTAATTTTTCCCCAAAACACATTGCTTAGAAATGAACTCATTTTATATACAGAAGAAAATATGGTGGACCAATTTCTAAAGAAAAAATGAGGATAAGGACTCTTTTATGGATGCTTATAAATTGTTCTTCTACATTCTGCCAATTTCCTCTGCATCATTGATGGGAAAAACTTTTTCCAGTCTGATATGCACTAAAATATACCTAAGGAATACAATTTCAAATGAATTTTCTTCGAGGAATATTGTAATTCAGAAGAAACTACTTCTTCAGTTAGGAAGGAAACAGATGAAAGAAGAGCTCACACAAAAGTCTGAATTGGAAATATTCATCTGTGACTAATATGGAATTGGAACATTGTACAAATTGAAAAACATTTTTGAAGCTTCCTCCATTTTAAAATTATAGAACCAAAAGCAATATTCTCATTTTATTGTAATTGAAATTACATTTCAACTTCAATATGAATTTTTGAAAAACAAAAGAAAGTTATTGAAAGTTTGTTTAATTCTTTTATGGAATTCTCATGTTGAGAAAATTTGAAATAATGATTGTCTTCTTGTTTAGTAGTGAATTTGCATATTGCAAAATAAATACAAACACAAAATATTTCTTAAATTTTATTTTTAGCTGACACTATCAACTACTGCTTTACAAATACAAGATTTATGTACACTTTAAGAAAATTGTGTAGTTCAATTATCTTTCTCACTGGCTAATTTATTATTAACCATCTCCTTAAACTGGCTAAGAATGCGATTTTCTCGCTTTTGCCTTTCTTCTTTACTAAACATTGCAAGTGCTCGCTTTTCGTCTGCAGAATAAATCTGGTTTTCCTTACGAATACGCACAGCTTCCATACGACGATGTCTAAAACAAACAGAAAAAATAACTTGTAAAAATGAACTTGGTAAATACAAAATCATCATGAAATATTCAAAATGTCTTACCTGCTACCACTCATGACATAACCAACCGATTCAAAGGAAGCTATCTGATCAGAGGTAAGGCCTATTTCACCTCTTCTTGGAATACGCTTGCCTTCTGCCACATACGCAGCCATAGCAGCACCTTCTCCAGGCAGCAGAGCTTTTCCATAATCTTTACTGGACAATGTGATTTGCTGTTTCTGTATGGGGCCAAACACTCCTTCTTCTTCATCAGAACCTGCAGCTTCTGTAAAAAGAGAAACCATGGAAAAATTTCAACCATTCAACTTTCTTCATAATCATAACTAGACTTGAAACAAGTGCCACAAACATTTATTTCATAAATTATTTAAAATATCAAGATTTTTTTACTGTAGTATTTACAAATTTTAAATTATAAGAAATAATTATGTACACCAACCACACACACTATCACAGTTCTATCACTTACTGTTCTTTTCAACCCATAATTCACACTCTTCCCCTGAAGATGAAGATGATGATAATGATGATGAAGATTCCTGCTTCTTCCTCTTCTTCTTCTTTGATTTTTTATCTTTCTTGTGCTTCTTGCTCTTCTGAAGAGAATTAATTTGTATTAGAGTGCAATATTATGATATACAAAAAACATAAATGACAATGAAAATACATTTAACCAAACCTTTGCTTTTTTCTCTTTCTTCCTCTTTTTCTTTTTTTTTAGATCTGATGAATCGGACTCTGCATTTTTCTTAATTCCTTCATTCACAATGGACTCCATTTCATCAGAACTACAATGAAAATATTTCATTAAATGATGAATAAAATGAAGATATTCATCTAGTAATAAACAAACACAACACTTACTCATCTACACGAGGAGGAGATTTCCCCCAAACTTGAGGGACACCAGCTAAACCTATTCTTTCCCGCTCCTGCCTTCTTTGATCCATAAATGTCTCCGGATTACGACGATGTCTATCTCTGTAACCGTAATGTCCATAACCACTGCTGCTTGCATGTCCTGGTTGTTGATTTTCAACATATTTATCATGAGGCCAAAATTCTGCATCAAGACCCTCTCCATGAGTATGCCGTTCAATACTTTTCCTTTGAGACAAAGAGCGGGCTGGTGATGGAGACTGTGATTTGTGTTCTTTAATTAAAGGAGAACGAGTTCTTTTTTCATAGGACCGATCACGATGGGGGCTGCTATGTCTTTTGTGTTTTGAATCACTGTCTCTTTCATATCTTCGAGACTTGTCTGATCTTTTATAATCAGGTACCTTTGAAATGCTTCGAGATCTAAAGCTCGAACTTTGAGAATGTCTATGCCTGTCACGTGATGAAGACCGAGATCTTCTTCTGCGAGGGCTTTTAGATCTAGACCTTGATCGTGACCGCATTGTCAACTATATTATAATTAGAGTAAAGCAGTCAATCAACTTCTAAATCTTTTATGATAACAAACTTATGCAAACATGTACACAAAGTTACACATTGTCAAAACACATTTACAATGAGTTTTCACTTAGAAGACAACATATTTGTTGCCAATTATTCATTAATATATGACATTAATACATGGAACTGCCAGTTGAATAGATACGAAGTATTTCAACCTACATATCTTCATTAACTAAATGTAATAAAACAAAAACCATCCATAAACTAAATTCTATCTGCTCATTTCTGAACCAAAACATTCACACTACACGCACGTTACACGGAACATCGCAAACTAAAAATCGACGAGGTATCAAAAGTTTACATATAGCGATTAAACCACCGATGTCAAACCATTCACAACTTTACAACATTTACAACTTCGAACGGACTAGCAACTTGCTAGTATAGCAAGACAGCACGAAAACCAACTCGCTGCTTTTTGTTTCTATTTTAGTTTAGACAGATGGTGATACTGAAAAATATTTTCTGTTGAGTGGCAACCCTGCAAAAACAAATGAAATTGTCCTTTACGTAGTGCTGCTATCTTTGATGAGCTAAGGATACTAACAAGCCTTTTGTGACAGCGAAGCTGGAAACGCGGTATCGCGCGCCGCGCAGCAGATGAGCTCAGACAGCGTAGACGAGGCACGAGCTATACGGAAAGTGCGCCCGAAGTGGACGCTGTAGGGAGAATGAGGAAACGTGGGTAACTGTGTTTTGATTGCCAAGAGAACGTGATTACTATCGGATCTCTTTAAAGCTGTGAACCTGTTCATGCTCCACGTAAGTACTACTTTATTTAGTATTATTTGTTGTTGATTTGTCAATTGTTAACACACGACACTGCAACACTGATCTTCTGTAATTAATGAAAGAATTTCAGATATGTAGTTATTTTGACGCATTTGGGGAAATATATTGCTACATGCATTACTTCATAGTATTTTGAGAAAACAATTCATAGATTTTCAAAAGTGGTCTATGTAATCTGTAATGTTTACATTCATGTAAACATGTTGCAATAAAGAAAAAAATACTTTACGTTTATCGGTAGAGATAGAAGTTTCATATTTTAATTTTCGATATCCGCACTAGCAATTCCGCGCTAGTCTCATCCATCTGGAAATTAGATTTAAGTCGAAGAATTAAGAATTAAATGGGAATGAATGCATTCAGATTAAAGCGTATGCAAATTATTAACTCACAGGATTTTGAATAATACTTCATACATTTCGGGAGAAATGAATTTATCTAATCGAGTACAGTTTTTTTGGTAAAGTAGATATTATTTTGTCGTTTTCAGAAGTTCGTATTAGTAAGGAATTTAAAGAGTTTCTATATTTGCCGAAGAAATAATCACGTGAAACGTCAGGAGGTAGTTTTACGTCGGTATATTCCTGTTGACACGTATCATTATTTAGAATTGTTAGTATTCGGTACGTAATATAATTTTTCATAAGTGTGTATCCTGTGTTACATTAGTCGAACCCTGTTCCTGTCTCGGACGAAAAGCTACGGGAAAACAATTTGAAAAGATTAATAACCATTGTTAATTGATTCTCAATAAGTGAGTTCTATACAGTTGCTTACGAAGACAGTGTTTTTTCTTATTAGTCCCATTGGTTTATATTTTTATCGTCTATTCGTTTCATTTTATTCATCTTCTTCCTGTTAAGAATCTAAATTTTTTAGTGTAGTGAAATTCGAATTCTGAAAAATACGTGTTTTTTGAGATATGATTCACATATTTTTTGTTTGAGAAGACAATGATGGATTCTTATAGTTTTTTCAATGAAAAATTCAAGAATATTAAAAAAAGCAATGTAAGGCTTCATCTTTTAGCTACATTTTCCAAATCAATTTACTTCTCTTTAACACCACGCTCGATTTAATGCATGAAGTGCTACTATGTTTATAGACGTTTCTTTTTTATTATATTTTCAAGATTGCGTTTGTGAATAAAAGGATTTGTTTCCATTATACGCTTGGAAATACGTGCTAAGTAGACACAGATCTCCGACAATAGTCGACAAAATTTCATAAGCTTTCTTTTATTACATAAAACTAATTCAATAATTTTTATGATTTTTGTATGTCTGTTTGGCCAGGATAATCTGTCACGGCTGAAACGATTTCAATGCGTTTTCTCTGAAAGATAATACGTTTTGTCACACATAATTTGGACCCATTTTTTCTTCAAATTATTATTTTAATTGACAGCAAAATATTCGATAATGTGTTTTTAATGTAAATATTATTTTATTCCGATCTTATTGAAATTTTGTACCTAAACCTTCAAAAGGAAAAGTATGAGAGTTGCAATAAAAGAGATCGTAAATATTACTCCTATCCCCCTTTCGTACACCGTATAATAATATTTAAGTATGTACTATTTTCTTTTTTTATCTCAATGGTGGCGAGTAAAGTGTCATAAGTGAATTAAACGTTTATTGAAAATCATAAAATTTCATGTTAGAGGCATTTTAATTCACTCCAATAGCTCAATTAGGTTCAGAGTAATTCAAGGTCGAATTTGTAACGGAAAGTTCGTCGAGAGTATGCAACAATACATCTTGTTTCCAGCCGCCCGTAGCAACGTTGGTAGTGGCAACGATGATCTATCAAGGCGGAGTAACAAGAGAGGTACGGCGGCCAGGTGAGGCAGGATGATTTTGATTAGTAAATTCCAGGATTCTTCAGCTAGTCTTAAATATTAACGGTACTGATCTAAGCGCGAGTCGAAGTCCAATCAGTGTTGCTAGGTTAAGGGATTCCTTCCAAATTTAGTTTATTTTTGTCTTAAGAGGAGGTTTTAAAGGCAAAATGTATTTGTTTTTGTTGTTGTTGTTGAGGTGTTCGTTGAGCTTTTTAAATTTGATTTTTTAAATAATATATATTGTGTGTCACAAAATCACAAACCCCCAAAATAGTTCTCTATGTTTATTGCAGGGATATTTATTCAAATATAACTAAGAGTAGTAAAAACACTTAAAAGGTGTGTAGAATAATTTAAATTAATTCCATCGTTTAAAATTGGGTGATTATTTGTCACAACCAAAGTTTGTAGAAGAGGGGGAACACATTTGATGAAAAGGAACGAATCACATCAATAAACAACGATTTCGGTTGAAGGAAAGTTTTACAAAGAGGTATTGTTATCTCTTTTTCAGTCATTACCTCTTACATTTCGTAACTCATTCACAGAGTAAAACTTAACCCAAAACTTATACGATGTATATACATATATGTTTAGTATTATATAAATAGTAATGCATAATTGAATATATTACAAATACAGGCGTTTACTGTAAAAATATGAATTTCATAATATACAATTAATGTTTTTCGTATTCCTTTAATTTCCTTACATACTAATAAATTTTAAATATGAAATATTTTTTTAAATTTTATGTTTTTTTTGACGTTTTGGTGATTTTTGAAGCGCTATCTAGTGGAAAATGTTTGAGACCATCTGGCAACACTAGGTTCTGCCATGGCTTAGAAATCTAGGACATACGTAAAAAAATAGTGAGAGCTTTCGTTGTACTTTCGTAAGTCATACTTGGTAAATATACACAAAGATAAAAATATCGGTCTAGTGAATTTCGATTATTTTTTTAAAAATTGAGAGCTGAAACATCAGACATTTGATTTCCATCAGAAAATATCGGCACGACTGTGAATTAAATCTCTTCATTCGTCAGGAACTGTCAATTCAATCCATTTTCTGTTAGAATTATATCTTAATATCAAACGTCGCCGCTTTACTATATTCAACATCACAACCATGACCTGTCATCTCGTCAATAAAAACAGGACTGCTCACCTGTTTTCTGTAATACTGCATTATAACTGTTATCCATCTCATCAACAGCTAAATTAAATTGTATTGCCATACTGCCTAACTAGGTAGAGAAAACATATGAAGTTTAGTATTATATATTATTCATGTGCGACATCCATTACTTATTATATGTACGTTACATGCAGAGCAAAACTCCTAGATTAGCATTTGCCAAAGAAACGTCTATCTAGATAGAAGTTTTGTTTTTACGACAGTTAAGATATTTATATTCGTGTCTCCACAAGTGCGGCAGTTACGATCAATTCACTTCAACAGTAAATAATATAGGATATAACAAAACTCAATGGCAATACTTCAGGAATAGATTATTTATGCAGATAAGTGGGCAGTAAGCTTGTTCATCATGCACAACAGTTGAAATACAATGGTATGTGATCCCGATGTTTGGTGGAAGTGTAAAACACTATTCACGTAGGCGTTGGCATATTCCTCCAAATGTCTTTCGGTGTGGCAAACTGTTGGATATCATTCCTAATATAAACGACGCGCTCTCGAAATAGTATTATCATTCGCCATTCCACACGTGAATTTTTTGTTCACGAGTTTTTGTGTGTGTACTAGACAGACAAAAACAGAAAACAAACTTCTTACAAATCGGCTGCGGGAAATCATTTGCAGATGCTAAGATCTGGTCAATATGAAATGTAGTTGATACATGATACACATGCAACTATTGTAATAGGAGTCTCGAATTCAGTCCACCCATCTAGTGATGCACTAAAAGTTCGGATAAGTCACAGTAATAACAGTGGCAATCAGTGCACGTACAGTGAGCGCCACTTTCGGGAGGGGGGGGGAGAGGGCATTTTCATATGCTAAAAACTAAGAAAAGGATTACCTGTGAAAGTGTCTCCAACCAGGAAACGTTTTTTATCAGTGTTGGGATTGGAACTCAGGTTCTGAAGAGAGCGTGCCATTCAACTTACTTCTATCCTACCAGCTACACAGCTCAGCTCAACCTTCCCGACACTTTGTAAGCTAGTGGAGCTGAAACAGCGTATTCTTTTTTGAATTATTTAACATTTACAATTTTGGAACGTTAAAAGAGTTCAAGGAAAATTATACCTGCGCTTATTTTAAGCAACCTTTGTTCTGACGGGGGAAAAGTTATAGAAAAATATGAACACGCGGGCAGACAGACGCATGGTTTGTACATGATTGCATTTTTTTAGTGCAAGTGCTTCAAATGATTTATGAAGTTTCTCGAAAACTGAAAAAACCGCTCCAAATTGTTCTGTGAACATTTTCATATAAAAAGAGGGTTTACTATTCTATAATATTCCTATCGTCATATTCTACTATTAGGGGACGGAATGAGTCTTTTAGGTGCCGATAAGTCACAGCTGGGTACAGGATGGCACAAAATCGAAAAGCTAGCCCAGACTGAAGAAAGGAAATAGGAAAAGGAAATTAATGAATTAGAAAAGTAAATAGGGAGTAGGAAACTAAGTGAGAAAGTCTATGCCATTCCGTATCACGTCTAGTTTTAATTTAATATTTCGTAATACATTTTATATTACTAATCTTCAATGCCCAAGACATTGAAACTAGTGGTGCTGCAGAATGGCGCAGAACTTTCCCATATTAGTTTTCTATTTACTGCAATCTCCGCTTGCTATACTAACTTGCCACATATTCTTGCCAGCTGCTATCTGTTTCTGTCCAAAGTACATTTAAAAAGTCTTAATTTTTCGGTTTCTTAGTTGTAGAATGGAAATATTATTTTAAGAACAATAAAACCTCGTCCTAATTGGCAATTTCTTTTGAAAACTTTGGAGTTGTTTTTAAGAAAATGGCGCTTAAGCGCTAGTGTACATTCGAAATTTGAAGCTATTTTTCGCAGAAAAGTTTTGAGTTTTCGGAAAACTTCAATAGAAGCCCTTTTCATGCAAATACTAAAGTTTTATTACAAATTGCA